CCACCCCATGCTTTAGGGCCCCCCCCATGGAGCCAGGTGGAGTGGCCGCAGCAACCCCACACTGCCGCTGGCCTGACCTTTGGCCACTCAGCACCCTCCCCCCAGCCACTGAATCCGCTGCTGCTCAGCACCCCCTCCTCCACCACCCTCAAATCCACTGCTGGCTTCTTGCATCCAAGGGTAGGGCCCCACACAGGCCAATTTGCCCCAAGCCATGCACCCTGCTCTGGTCATCTCCATCTACCCCTAGCCTCTTCTACTGATCTGAGGTTTAGTGCTAAGTTTTGAAGAAGAAAGAAGTAGATTGGGAGGTTAATGTGTGGATGTGACTGCTTTCAGATTCAGTCTGATTGAATCACAGAGTAACCAACCATCTCTCTTCCTTCAGAGAGAAAGGAAGATTTGCTTCAGCTGCTGACAGTTTTTTTGTGTTTTTTTTTTAAAACATATCCCAGCTTTAAAATAAGTATTTCAATGCTACACTTAGTCATAAGGACCGGATGACCAGCAGAGAAAAGAAAAATAGTTCCCCCTCCCCTTACTCCCCAGCTAAAAATGTCTCAAACTATAAAAGTGAAAACTTGCCATGAGTGCTTCAATAGAATTTTCTTGCTTGCAATATTTTATGGAAGAGTTAAATGGTGTCCCTTTAAAGACCAATGTAGCAATCCAATATAATAGCTTCAGTTTGAGACAAGGGTTTACACTCACCTTAATGTTTCATTGAATCTGACTGTAGCTGCACAATGGAATACAATATTAATGCAGTCTATGAGAGTTTCTTTGTCCTGCTCACTAAGGTCCAGTTCAGGCTGTGTAAGTTCACTAGTAACTGCTATTATTTTTGTTTTAAAGTCTGGTTGTTCTTCTCTCAATCTGTCAAAGAGCTGTCAAAATAAAATTACATTACTACATTAAAAATAAATAAATAAATAAATAGAGACAAGCAGTTAGATTTCTACTTCAGCATATGTAAAAAGACAGACAAGTCTCTTCTACTTATACAAAGCTGTGCCATGTTCATTACTCGTTAAGTATATGCAGTGGTGTAATGAAAATGAAATAATCCTGTATTCAGGTAAATACATATGATAAGGTTCCCCCTGGCCTCCAAACTTTCCCCAAAGCAGGGGGAAGGCCCTTGTCTTACAGACACAAATCTTGGGGTAGAGGCGATATCTTTTGTTAGACCGTGTGAAGGAGTGAAAAAAGAATACGAGCCAGCACGGGCTGTGGCAGATCAGGAGACTGACTTACCCGAGGGCTCTGGCCCTGCATGCCTGGATACTGCTGTGTCGATGCTTCTCTAAATGGCATTTCCTCCGGATTGAAGGAGGAAACCCAGCATTGGCTCTTTTGAGCTGGCACATTATAGGTGGGAACAGAGAAGATCGGAAGCAAGGAAGCTCCAGGGCAGCTGGGACCGGAAGCAGCCATCCCAGCAGAGCAGAGTGTTACCAACAATTGGGAGATAGAGATAGAACAGCTGGCACCACGCCAGTCACCTGTGAGCCAGCCCAACCCAGCAGCAGACAAAAAGGGCTGCAACACAAGCCTGAAGAGATTGGCTCTGTGACCAGGAGAAGGAGCAAGTGGGGAACAATGGGGACACAACCTGAAAACCTAGCTGAGCAAGTCCTGATTATTTTTTTCTTTCTATTGTTGCGGGGGGTTTAAGTGCAGTCTGGTCCTTTGAGCCTCTCGGGGAGAGAGTGCTAACAAGGGTACCAACAGTGTCCTTAATGAGTTGATAATAGATTTTTTGTTTGACTGCTCTTGTAGTGAAAACGCATCTTCAGTGATGCCTTTATTGGACTGTAACCTAGTCTTAAGGGACACTGGACTAAGCCTGTCAAATTTACCTGTCAATGAGGGTGGTGGGATAGGCCAAAAGACAGGACATTGTATTTTGTGGTGGTCCTTGAATAGGAACAGAAGTGGACTAAGGACCTTAGGCTTGGACTATTGTAAATGCGAGTCCTGTGAGAAGGGATCAGCCAGCCCTGCAGACTCTAAGCAGGGACCCCTATATCTGAACAAATAAACAGCATCAACATGGTGGTAAGGGCAAGGGGTGTAGCAGAAAGAGAAGCCCCCAGAAAAAAAATCCCCTAGAGTATCCCAGGATTGTACTGATCTGTAGACTCTTCCTCCCCATTTCATTTCATCAGGTCATGGTGGGCAAGAGAATGTAGTCTAAAAAGGCACTAGCCCCAGGATATCCTCATCTGTAACTTACAGATGGCACAGACAAGCAAGGAATGCAAGAGACATGGACCCCAGCCTTATCTGGTAAGTCCCTGACAAACCAACTAGATAGTTGCAAAAACATTTGCAAGCTTTCAGGCCCAAATGCCCTTTGTCAGGCAAAGGAGAATTCAAAGACTAAAATTTCTCCCAGGTACAAACAGAACTTCATACAAATGCCTGGGAGAAATTTTACAGTCTTTTAATTCTCCTTTGCCTGCCAAAGGACATTTGGGCCTGAAAGCTTGCCAATTTTTTTGCAACTATCTAGTTGGTCTAATAAGAGATAATGACCTCTACTCCAAGAGCTTTGTCTGCTCATGCCTCTAAATCAACATGGCTACAACAAATATCTTCATCTTACATTGGCATACAGGGCTGAAGAGGAGCAGACAGCCTCCTGCCCCCCACCCCTGCAGTTGTTTTGACAAAACTTCAGTTACACAAACAGCACTGATTAAGGGGGGGGGGGGGGGGGGGTTTTAAAACAAACCCACTCAAACTCTAAAATGCAGATCCCATAGTAGGATTATATGGAGGCATGAATGGCTAGTAACAAGTCTGTGATGGAGATGGAGGTGGTTAGAGCTCCACAGCTTCAACTGTACTACTGAAATGCCAGCATAGCTTATTCCAGCAGCTCCAAAGTCAGAGTTCTGCCCAAGCAGAATGCCAGTTTTCTTTATCAACAAGAAAAGCAAACAATGGGTGGAGAGCATCACAACTAACTGTTACTCGTTCCCCAACCTGAATGACCAGGTATTATGTTTTCTATGAGCAAAAAAAAATCTCATGAAATTCAATAAAGGACAAGTGTAAAGTCCTGCACTTTGGATGGAACAATCCCATGCACTGGTACAGGCTGGGGACCAACTGGCTAAGCAGCAGCTCTGCAGAAAAGGACCTGGGGGTTACAGTGGACAATAAGCTGGATACGAGACAACAGGGCTAACATACTGGGCTGCATTAGTAGGAGCATTGCCAGAAGATCAAGAGAAGTGACTATTCTCCTCTATTCAGCACTGGAGGCCACACTTGGAGTACTGTGTTCAGTTTTGGGCCCTCCATTACAGAAAGGATGTGGATAAATTAGAGAGAGTCCAGTGGAGGGCAACAAGAGTGGTTATTGGGCTGAGGCACATGACTGATGAGGACAGGCTGAGGGAACTGGGGCTTACTGAGTCTGGAGAAGAGAAGACTGAGGGATGGGGAGATTTAAACAGCCACCTTCCCTGAAGGGTGGTTCCAAAGAGGATGGAGCTAGACTGTCATTTTCCACCACCAAGAACAGAACAAGGGTCTCAAGTTGCAGCAAGGGAAGTTTAGGTTAGATGTCAGGAAAAACTCAGTAGGAAGATAGTAAAGCACTGGAACAGACTACCAGAGAGGTTGTGGAATTTCTATCCTTGGAGGTTTTTAAGATCCAGGAAGATAAAAGCTTCAGGTGGGATCATCTAGTTGGGGATGGTCCTAGATAACCTCCTGAGGTTCCTTCTAACTGTAATTTCTTATGTCGCACCTGTGTGAACAAGGTAAAGCCTTTGGTGGAAATCTACAGCAGGGTTCAAATTCAAACATATAAAGCTATAACAAGAAGCTTTACTTGACAGAAGCAATTTTAACTGTATCCAAACCAAGGCCACATTGGTTTAGGATGTAGCCAAGTCAGTTAGTTCAAGCAGTACAGACATGAAGAAAATACTAGAGTGCAGTCCCTTCTCTAGAGGAGGGATTTCGCTACTGGACTGTATCCATAGGACAAATCACTCCAGTGCATTTCCCTCTTGATTGAAGAATTCTGAACCTCAAAATCAACCCCTTTGATAAAAATGCACAATGGACAGTGGCTCTTCTATTTAAAGTTATATCCCTTACCACAATTTTAAATGATACAAATTTGATGGGGCTTTGCATTTTGCTGCAGAGGCCAGAAAGTCATTAGCAGAACTGAAGAGTTGTAACAAGTTGTTACAAGAGGTTCACACTTTCCCACCATTTCTGAAGTGGCCATATTAGCATTTCCTAGCACCATCTTTTAGAGACTTACCTTACAGCTGATCATTTCTTCCACTCGCTCTTGAGGATTCTGTTCTGCCTTGTGTCTCACTAATACATAAACAGCTTTTACTTTAGAACAAGACCGTAGCAACTTCTCCAGAAGCACTTTTCCCAAGAAGCCAGTAGCTCCTGTGATGAGGACATTCTTTCCTTCATAGTATTCTGGGATGGATACCATTATGATCTAAAGAAAGAGAGTTTAACATGCATTAAAAAGTTTAACTATCATTCAGTAGCTTGCATGAAGTGTAAACTGTAGATACGAACACAGAACTAATGGTTGAGCCAGAGTTCAAAGTTAATTTTTCCTCTACTGATATGCTGCTATTTCTCATAGGGGTGTCAGAGACAGACCAGATCGTGATAAACTGCAAGGTGTGGGGGGTGGGAGCAGCATCTAGCCACTTGCAGAAGGTGACTTTTTTTTTTCCTTTTTTCAAAGGAAAGAGCAACATACTGCAATTAAAACTTGGGCCAACTACACCTTTAGAACATGTGGATACTTCACATGTGCTCACTGAAGACAAGGGACCAGGGGACCCACTGCTGGGTCACAGTTCAAAAAGGTATCCCTCCTTTGCCATTCCTTTTAAGCTACGTGATTGAACTGTAGAACAAACTAAGACAAAAACGAGAAAGTAGAGTGATCCCCAAAAAGATAAGTATATTTGGTAATTTAAAAGTATTACTTTTATATGAATATTAAAAAATTGGGTTTGCATAACTGCACTAGAAGAATATATTTCTAAAGTAGAACAAATTTGGGGTTAAAGGGCACATCCAGATGAGCACAGATGTTTGTATCCCCAGGGACAAGAAGCAGCAGCAAACCTTGTGCTGCTATCTGTCCCTCCCTGGGGATACCTGTGCCACGTGCACAGCAGGTTATTGTGGGTGGGGTAGGGGAGGCTGCCCTGGAGTCCTGAGAGCCTCCCAGGGCAGGAAGCCTAGCCAGCAGCTAGAATATGGCTCCAGCTGGTCAGGCTCTGGTTTTGGACGATGCATACTGCCACCATGTGTGCTGCCCTGTTTTTTACCCCAGGACCTCTTGGGGTCAAAAAAACCCCACACACACAGAACAACATAATTCAAGGTAGCAATGTGGGGAACACCTTCATGTGCAGTGTGTGGCGATGCAGACAGGTCTGCAGCACCACATAGGCCATGTCTAGACAAGTGTGGACATGCAGTAAGAGGTCAAAAGTTAAAAAAACACTATAATAATCATCAGCATTTTTTAGAATTACTTTGTGTTCTGAAAGATTCAGAACAATCAGACAGAGGAAGCAAGAGCCTATCAACCACCACAAAAAACACATGTATAAATTGGGAGTCTAAGTTAAAATGCTTTGCCAGGTGAGCAGGCACTAATTTTTCCTTCAAAAATACTTCTGAAATGGATTTAAAAGCTGTCACTTTCCATCTTGCTTGCACAAAAAAAGGAGGACTGGACAAAGCTACTTGCCAGCCTTACTGCTTGTTTAGGTGGAGTTACTCTATTGATAACAAAAGGACTCTTATTAGCAAATAGAAACAAGATTGCAAAACAACCCAGAGCGATATAGATTTGCTTATCAAAGCTATTTGATGAATATTCATCTTTCATTACTGCTGGTGAATCTGACAGCCTGGAGCACAGATTGCCTGCGCTGTAGTCAAAGACACGACTGCAGTTCGTGTAGACATACCCAAGTTTGCTTGGGTACTGACAGAAGCTGCAGCAGCAGCAGTGCTCAAGAAGAGCAAGATGCCCACCTATTACCCAGAGAGGTTTGACAGATTAGGATGAATCTTGTGCCAAGTGTTAGCTACTTTGAAAGCTAACTCAGAGGCCTATAAGAAATTCCAGTTATCTGTGTAGAACAAATACACCCTTGAGAACAAACAGTTACATGGCATTTTCAGGGGATGCAAACTATTTTTCCCCTCATACTTTTAAAGGTGTCATCTTACTACTTGATTCAAGATGCTTGAATTTCGGAGGACATGGTAACTAAATTCCTTATGTTTGCCTTGGTTCTCTAGAGATTCACTTAGTTAAGGCAACAATTAGACTTACTAATCAATCATCATTTTTTCTTCAATGTTTCTTCCAAGCCAATTTAGAAAATACTGTAACATTTTCTAGAATGATGCTTGGTGCATCAATATACCAATGCTTTGGCTACGGGCAGAAATTACACAAACAGAAGTTCAATGCACATAAACCAATTTCAAAATGGCCACAATCAGTTTAAGATGAACCAGGATAGGTATAGTTTATTTTAGGTTAAGTCAGTTTATTGAACTTGTCCTAGATCCCCTTCTGGCCTGGACCACTGCAGGCATGTGGCTGCATTTCCACAATCAAAAGTGAACGCCTTCATTCGCTTACTGTTTCAGTCTATGCAGTTTAGACTAATCTGTGAAGATTGATTCAATTCGGCCTCAGGCTTTTTGACTGTCTGTCCTTAGTATGGTAAAGCCATGTCCCCTGCAGTTTTAAAAAGCTGCAACAAGTATGAACAGTGCTAAAAGCAATTTACCACTAAAACAAAAAAAACCAAACAAACCAAACAAAAAACCACAAACCAAACAAAAAACCACAAAACAAAAACACAAAAAAACAAACAAAAAAACAAAAACACACACAACGCACCACCTTCCCACACAATGCACACTGGAGTTGTGTTAAATTAGATAAATAAATAAATACTCAATCTAGAGGTATGAATGTTTACATAATACTAAATTTAGGCTTTCAAAAATATAGAAGTAGTAAGAAGCATAAAATTAATTTTCACTGCTATTATATTAGGGTAGAATATTAGAAGAGATTAGGTTTACAAAAAAAGCCAACAAAAATTAAAACAAAACCCACAAACAATACTCCTGGCCAATCCCACAGACAGGAGTTTAGTGCCCAGTTTAGGATTCGGGTCCCTTCACCATTCTTTCCCTTAATTTCAGTTAAAAATACTGGCTGCAAGGGACCCAGTTCATAAGTGAGCACTACCAGCAGAAAGCAGGAGTTGAAAGCTATTTGTACGATAAAAGTGTAACAATCTCAGAGATGTCCAGGTATCCTGTGCACAGAAAGTGAGTTCATAATGCTTTATTTTAGACCCACGTTATGGGAGACATCCTGTTCCCTGAGGGGGAAGAGAGGATACAATGCCATCCTTACCTAGCTAGGCCAAACATTACCTACTATAAAACTATTTAACAGCACAGATTTTAGAGAAGTCACAGGGGACGTTACAGAAAGGTATATGCAAATTGTATGCTGAATGTAAACAGTGCATCTGTTTGATCCTGAGGCTAGGGACAGACATTCAAAAAGCCTCAGCCTACACTGATCAATTTTTGCAGGTTAGTCCAACCTGGATAGGCTAAACTGGTTTGTAACTGTGCAGACATCCCCTCTGAACTCAAGAAATGCTAGCACATTCCTGCAGTGGCTCAGGCTAGAAGCCAGGGGGTACTAGAGCAGCCCTCCCTTCCCTTCCACAGGGCTGAGCCGAGGAGGGCATGGCCAGACCCCTGCAGGATGCTCCTGTTAGGGAGGGGTTCCCCCCCTCATTGCTCCTGCCCAGCCAAGCAAGGAGCTGAAAACAGCATTTAGCACCCCATAAAAACAAAAACCTCTCATTATTTCAAGCTCCTCTTAAACATTTTTTTCCAGGGAAGGAATGGAGGGACATTACCAGATCCCCTGTTGATTAAGCAGCCAGTACATTATCTGCCTTACACAGACACCTCTCAGCATTAGCTAGCATACCACATGCTGGCTACAGTCCATGTTGTGGGAGAGGGGAGGGGGGAAGCCAGGCAGACCCTGCTATGCCTGCAAGTCTGCACCAGAGCTCCAGCCAGGGACCAGAGGGGCAGGGCCAGCTCTGCTGTGGAGCCAAGAGCCCCGCCCAGGGCTGCAAAGCATATGGGATGCTGGAGGACTCTGGTTTAAGTTAAACCAGGAAAGGGTCTGGGACAGACACTACATAAACTGGTTTGACCCAAATCAGTTAAGTCTGATACTACATTCAAACAGGTTTATCTCAAACCGGTTTCAGCCATGTTCAAAAGTGTTTATGTGCACTGAACATCTGTTCTGTTACAGGTTTAAACCAGTTTCTGATTACTTAAGTTAGTTTGTGTGTAATGTCTGTCCCTAGCCTAAAGATGCAGATACAGCAACAACCTTGAAGGGACTTGCCTGCCTTACCTCCTCCCACACTAACTGGGCTGATACTGACACAAAGTCAAAAGTTTGAGTATTTCTTTACTCCAACATCTAAAGACTATTTATAAATTGGATACAGGACTAAGAGCAATATGTACCCCAGCCTCAGCCCCCTACTGTGATCTTCTGAAGTCAGCCTCTGGATCCAAGTCCACTTCAAGCCATGTGTCAGATGTCCTTTCATATTGTCAGGTTTGACCTAGAAACCACTACACATAGCCCAAGCAAAAGTCTCTGTTATGTAACTAATGCCCATCTGCAATGATAAGGAGGAGACAGTCTTAGATAAAGGAGGCTTGAAAACAAAAGCAGAATCAGAGGACTAGGGCAAAGAGCTGATTTAAATATTAAGATTCACACCCCTAGGTGGGGAGAAAGTATGCTAATGAAACATACATGTATGGAAATGAGATACATAGCTAAAACACAGGTATAGAGACATGCTCAGTAAAGAACTCCTTGCGTCACTCCCTTATAACCAATCAGCAAACAAGAATGCTTATGAAGGTCCAATACTCCTGTATAAAAGATGCTTAGAATTAAGAATCTGTGTGCTTGTTACGTGAAATTATTCCGCTTGCACCTTGTATTGCTAGCAATAAATCTTTATACTTTCACCCCTGGTATCTTTATTGGCTTTTGCATACCGGGCACGATTCCAGACTTGAGCTGGGGCTCAACAGTTTTTGGCACCCCAGATGGGACTGCCTTAGATAACTTTGCCCGGACTAGCTGACGACCAGACACAGCTCCTCCTTATCAAATGTCAGGCGCGCCCCGGGATCTCTTTTCCCGGTGAGACTTTTGTTTCAGGGGGAGCTGGATCGCTGAGGCGGCAGTAGCCTAACGGTGCAAAGCCATAGAGTGAAAGTATCAGTAACAGGCACCTGGGTGAGAGGGTAGAAAGGGCATAAGGCCTACCGTCAGCACGCCTGCCTGGGATTATCTCTGTAAGTATTCTA